TCCTGGTCAGCTTATTCATAATAATGTAAATATTTCCACATATCGTCTTACTTTATTTTCTAGATAGCTTGGAGATCTAGGCAGTACCCAAGATCCCTTCAAACTTTCATGGCGCCAGAGGTCGGTAGGATAGAAACTTTTCGTTACTTCAATATATATTACGTACCCTCAGATATACATAGTTAGAATTAGTAATACATATTGACATGATAGTGATTTTTTTTTTTCGTGATGATATTTGTAAACAAACAATAAAAGTAGTATATAAAACCACTCTATATTACACTTCGCTACGGCCCCCCAGTGGCACAGCGGTATGTCTGCGGACTTACAACGCTAGAATCCGGGTTTCGATACCCGTGATGGGCAGAGAAAGCCAATTTTGTTTCAGGTATTTTATTTCGGTTCAAACAAGTTTTCTTCAAGTAGTTTAAATAAGAGAGCCTTATGGAAGTTTGATTATATAGAAAGAATATTTCGACAAATAAACATTGCAGAATTGCGATATAGTTTCCACAAAGTAATTGGCTGGGAAAGCAGCTGAAATGTATGATATTCTTTACCGTGCTAGAGTTGAAAATCAATATAAAGCTTCACACACACACAGGGCTTTCCGCGGTTATAGCGTGAGTTGCTACAAAAACCATCGTAACTACTATTATGTTATAACATGAGTTGCTACAACAACCATCGTAACGACTACTATCACCGGTAAAGACAGAGAAAGGGCAAGGAAGAAATAAAAACCTCTGAAGCGTGAATGTTAAATTTATATATTAACTTGAACCATCCGTATAATCCCCTGGAGAAACTAAGAATTGATATATATATCTGAATATGGGGGTTAATCGAGAAAGCCTTAACGATCTAGAAAAATGTGTTACATTATTGCACGAACGAAAAAAAAACAAGATTTTTTAAAATGATAATCTATCCCAATGTTGTTATTTGATTGAAGTATTCATGAAACAAGAACAATTACTTAAATATGTTGAAAAAACCTAATTCGTAATTATCTATTATCAAGCGTTTTGCAGATAACGTTAATAACCGTTAAACGTTAATTCCGAGTTTGGTTAGTTCGTTAACATTCTTGATATAAACTGGAAATTGATGAAAAAGTGGTGTTATAATGGAATCTAAGCCGGATGATGAACGAATGATATCATAATGGATTCTATACCAGACGAAGAACGAGACGTGGCTTAATGGAATCTAAACAGGACGATAAACAAGAAGTGGCTTAATGGAATCTATACTGGATGATGAATGAGAGGTAACTTTATAGAATCTAAAGCGGATGGTGAACAAGAAGTCGCTTAATGAAATCTAAACCGAATGATAAATGAGAGGTGGCTTAATGGAATATAAGTAGTTTGCAGTAAGTATGCTTGCCTGGAAAACCTTGCTCATAAATTGGTTGTACTTTCTCATACAAAAAAAGAAGAAAAAGTCCAGAATCGTTTATTGGTGTTTGATACCAATACAAACAATTTGTTGATAATCGTCAAAAGGGTTGTTATCAAGGCCAATGCAGAATACTGGCCTAATAATTGTTTATAAGCCTCCAGAAGGTGAAAGTACTCTTTAAAATGATAATCATTCCTCGATTTTTTGCATACTTTATTAAAATTCCTTCACTTAGGCAAAGAATATGTAGAAACAATTCTTGATCTTTGGTAATGTGTTATACAATAGAATTGGTTTTGAAATTGAGGCTTAATTTTCTGACCTATCTAAAGCCAGGAGGTTGATAGGTTTTAGGTGGTGATGTCCATGTGTTTGTTCTTCTGTGGCTGAGATATAAAAAAAAACTACAACAAATTGGAGTCCACAGAAGATATGTTGGCAGGTCTTGAGTTGAAGTATATAAACATTTACTTTTTCTCCATACACAATGTCGGCAATCGTGGAATCCAAGATAATAACCTAGAGAACGCCGCGCTAACTACACGTTAGCTGAACATCGCAGATTCAAGAGTGGTTCCCTAATGGTGTGGGAGATATATTTACTGAATGGTATATCATTTGAAAAAGTGTTCATCACGGATCTTGTAACACCAGACTTAATGTCACTCTGATGGAGAATAATACTTGTCCTCACCGATTGCGTGTCGTCATTGAAACTAACAGACTACTACTTCTAATACTGGCGGGATTTTAGATGAGAACGATTCGACAGTTGGCATATACTATGACGGCTATCGAACAGTCAACATCTATGGTGTTCGGAGATATATAATCTTCCTTCGCCCCGCAAGAAGTATTTTTGTTAATCTAGAGATTAAGTAAACTAATTACTGTGGAGTAGTAGTTTAAACGTTCTAAGTATCAGATTTTAAAGCTCTGGGTAGTTGAAATAGGCGTGGTTTGAGGTGCAGGAGGCATCTGGATAGTTGAGATAGGCGTGGTTTGAGGTGCAGGAGGCATCTGGATAGTTGAGATAGGCGTGGTTTGAGGTGCAGGAGGCATCTGGATAGTTGAGATAGGCGTGGTTTGAGGTCGCGAGGAGGCATCGTGGATAGGTTGAGTAGTAGGGCGGTT